AGGGGTCCGTACAAGTCCAAATGAAATCCAGAGCACTCAGCCAGTATCAGTGATAGGTTATAGTCTTATAGAGATACTTGTGGTACCCTAATTAAAGCCGCTTTACATTAGGCAATTTTAGTGCAATGCAAGGCTTGTGCTATGCAATCTAAAATTGCCTTGCATTGTTTATTACGGTTTTACATTTATGCAATTGTGTTGCAACTTTTGTGCAAGTTCAGAAAAGTGTTGCAGTACTGACAACATATTTTTCAAAAATTGAAACTTTTCAGTTTGTTTACACAGAAGGTTATTCTTGAAACTTAATAAAATTGACCATATTAGCCATTGTAACAAAATTACAAGTTACATTTGTTACTTAACGAATAAATAAAGTTTTTAGGTTATTAAAAATAACACACGCGAAACCAAATAAATTGTGGTATTGACAAAATTACTAGAAAAGTTACTAGAACTTGCGCCAAACTTGCAAGTGAAATAGAACTTTCTCTATTTATTTTTCTTGCACCTGAATTGCGTATGAACATGCGCAGTACCGTATCTCTAACTTGCATTGCTCTTGCATTGCACGAAAATTGCCTAATGTAAAGCGGCTTTAATGTAAAGCGGCTTTTAGATTTGAAGAGAAGTTTGGTGTGGAACGATTTCACTACAAAGTTATTACTCGCCATATATATATTACTCGCCGAGTATTTCAAATTTGACATTCGTCAAAGGGAGGCTGAATTAATACTGTTAAAATATCTTCTTTTTTTGTCTGGCAACTTTGTCGTGGGCAGTGTACGTTCGCAGTTTCTTGCGTTTTTACGGATTAACAGAACCATTTATTGATAGGAAAAAGCTCTATCAAATGACACAAAAAGTAAAAATGACTTCCATAAGAAAAAACAAAGCTGATGATGGTTAACCGGAGACGAAACGTCAGACTAAAAATTTAAAACTAGCATCTTGTATATGGAAAAAAGTGGTCACAATTATGCGCCGTTTATTTTGAAATACCTATCTTTTTAAATAACTTATTAGGAACAAATAAAAACGATTTTGTAAAATGTTTTTTTTTTCTGGATATCTCCGAAAGTAGTCGGAATTTTTTCAGTTTCAAAACGACATTTGTTAAGCATCAAACTACTCAACTTTGCCAACCTCTTTTTCTTACAGTTCCCGAGATCCCCATAGTGGCCCTCGAATTTGAATAAGCCTGCATACATGGAATGCTCCCTTCTTCATTCATAATTAAATTATTCGATTTATCTCTTACAACTTTAAAGTGCATTGGGAGCAATGTGCAATTATCCAATTTTTGGTCGTGATGTATAGGTACTAGTAATTTACTCCAATTTCGCGCATAAACCTGTATGCCGATGGTTTAAACAAATATGCATGCCTTACAAAATTACAAACATGTTTGTGATTTTCAGCGAGTTTAAATTGCGATTCAAAAAATGGCGTCCGCTTGCAAACAGTTTAACAACTAGCAACGCGTTCAGTAAACGTAATTATCGAAAAAGCGCAAACGGTTTGCAAACAGTTGGTTCTGGCAAACGCACCCTATCGTTCACCTGCGCCTAAACAGTTTGTGTTTGCAAACGTAATCAAAGCGTAAACACGTTTGGTTCTGGTGAACGCACCCAATGTCCCTGGAGCGCTTGTTTCTGCTGAATGCAACCCATAACTATTTATTGTCCTAACGCTAACCTCAATTCCTTCGTCAACAACAACACAAGAATTTTTTTTTTTTGCTTAATGAAAACATTAATATTAATTGTCTTTTTAAATTATTTATATAAATGGATAATCTACATTCATTAAACATTGAAAAGATCTGCCGTGTTTGTTTATTGGAAAAGACCGTCCTTACACCTCTGTTTGGGAATAATTTAGCAAGTATGTTAATGGAATTGACAGCAATAAATGTAAATGTTCACACTAGCAGTACATTTTTACCTAATACATTTATTCAAAGGTTGAGCAAGATGACAATTTACCTAAAGTTGTGTGTGAATTGTGTGCCAATGAAATCGGCCATTGGTACACATTTAAACAGCAAGTGAGAAGTAACGATTCGATTTTGAGATGCATTATGTTGGAAAAACAGAAAATCGAACGTCATGAGTATATTGCACAGAATATCGTTACTACATCTGATGCAAACATAGATCTGAAACCGAATGATTCGTTTCAAGATGGTGTCCCTGATAACTTTACTTGTGATACTTGCAAAAAACAATTAAAAACGATCCATTCATTACGTAGACATGTTAAAATACATTCTGGAGAGAAACCTCACAAATGCACAATTTGCAATAAGAGTTTTGTTGAACATGGTAATTTAACAAAACATTTACGCAAACATACGAAAGATAAAAAGCACCAGTGCAATGTGTGCGGTCTTCGATTTTATGAGAGGAACAAACTTGTAATACACATTCGGACGCATACTGGGGAAAAACCTTTCACTTGTAAAGTGTGTTCTCGTCCTTTTGCTACTCCAGCTCAGGTGAACGTACACATGAAAGTAAGTGTAAGTGGAAAAACATGTTCTCGCATGTCTGTGTGTAAATGGATGTTTTTTTTTTCTTTTTTAGTTGCTTCAAACTCTGTTGTCTGTTCCCATTTGTTCCACTTTGCTATAATCTTACTGCCATATGTTTGCAGTTTTTGGTTTGTTCTCATTATCTTCATCAATTTTGATACAATTTTTCCATACTTGTTTCTTTGCTTTGATTTATGAGTTGATTTACTAATTTCTTGTATTCCATTCTTGTTCTTGATTTTTATATGTTTTTTTAATTGCCTCATAACACTATCTTTAATCTACTCTCTTTTGTTTTTTACAATAGTTTCACATATTTGCGTACAACTTTTCTATATTTTTTACAACCTGACTATGTGCTGTTTTGGAATGCGAGTGACCTGTCAGAATCTACACCAGTGTTACAATGTTTGTGTATATCTGTGTTTACAATATATACAATGCTCACTACTGCCATAGGTATATAATCAATATCGAATCAATATGGGCTGCTATATATACCGGACGTTTTTGTACGCGTTTATGTACGTGCATTCAAAAAGGTGCACTATCACAACTGTCTCTTACACACTTACAATTCCGCAGTATTTTGAGCGATGTCAATAAAGAGTTAATTGATTCGGCATTGGGAGCAGTGGCGTGCAAAAAAAGAAATAAGCAAATTCAGTTAATATTATATAACAAAAGAACACTGCAGTTTACCTGATTATCTAATTCTGTGATTCAAAACAATTGCGTATTCAAAAAGGTAACGTTTTCTGCATATACACGTTTCTGTATGTGCTTTTTTGAATGCACGTATGTGTACAAAAATGTCCGTCTGTAATAGGACTCGTCCTTAAATAAAATTTCTAAATCCGAGTGCAGGTGCAGCTTTTGCTATTATTCATTTTTTTTAGTCGCACACTGGAGACAGACCTTACACGTGTGATGTATGCCAAAAATCCTTTCCATACAGTGGCTCTCTAGTCATCCACAAGAAAATTCACAAAGGCGAACGATCTTACAGTTGCCCCGAATGCAAGAAATCCTTTTCACAGAAGGTAAACTTGGAAAGTCACATTCGCACCAAGCACACACGCGAGTGTCCATTCTTATGTGAAGAATGTTGCAACGCTTTTCCTACTAAAGAACAACTTAAGAATCACATCCGCCACCATACGGGCGAAAAGAAACCATTAAATCACATTTGTTCGGTGTGCCACAAACAATTTAGCACATCGGGAGAGTTGAAAATTCATTTGAGGATACACACTGATGAAAGGCCGTATCAGTGCGATTTTTGTGGCAAAAACTTCAGAGCGTCTTCCCACATGACTTCGCACAGACGAATACACACTGGTGAGAAGAGGCATATATGCAAGTATTGTGGGAAGGCGTTTAGAGAATCTTCCACTCTTAAAATACATGTTCGGATTCACACAGGGGAACGTCCATATTCTTGTCAAATTTGTGCTACAAGTTTTACACAAAGAAATACGTTGAATATGCATATGAAAATTCACAAAAATCGAATTAAGACGTCAACGGAAAACATGTAATACCTACTAATATGATATTGCGTATAAAAAATGTAGAAAAATTGTTATGATCTCTTCTGATATAATTATTGTTCATAATTGTTTTAATTTTATGTAATAGATTAGATAATCGTTCAATGAATACATTTTACAAGGTGATCATTCAACCTCCTGCAAAGAGACACCCAATTTAACAATCTTTAATGATTCCTATGTACTCAATACATACAAAAGAAACTAAGACCAAGAACGGTGACTTAATTAACGCACGTAACGAACAAGTAGAATGCCCACCCGGCGACCCACTTGCTTCATCCTTTTACTCTCTTATATCCACCTAAGCAGTATCGCTCACACATTAAAAATGTGTAAATAATCATATATAATACCATGAGTAGTCGAAGTACTGTCGATTATTTTTAAGGTGCTGCTGCACTCATGCTAGTTACGCTAAATAATACCACGAGCGCTTGCGCCAGTGGTATTAAAAAGCGTAACTAGCATGAGTGCAGCAGCACCTCAAAAATAATCAACAGTACTTCGACTATGAATGGTATTCGAAGCCCTATTCAATGAATCAAAAGAAACTTTACATTATGTCCATGACGACAATAAACGTAAAAATAAAATACGGAAGTTGTTTTTCATTTTGCTATAGATTCTATTCTTTTGTGCTCAAAATCAAATTAAAAGATGCGTTGATAAATAATCGGTTGATCTGTTTAATAAGAAAAAATTGCGCGACATTTCACTGATCAAAGTGTGACAAATCAATTAATCGCTGTAATTACCACACTATAACGTTCCCATTGGCTCAGTAATTTGAAATCGCAGCATTTCTTTGGTCCAAGTGTCACAAATGTCAGGCTTTCTTTATATTCAACACCAATGACGCAAATCCTCCAGGTTAAGGCGAATATGCCAGCAAGCTTTTAAACTGCGCAGAATATTTTTGAAAGCTTTTATTACACAAATATCTTATTTATCTTACACAAAAACTTAAAAAACGATACATTTGAATGTAATAGTAATACTATATAAGCATTTAAAAAACATTACTTCTTTCTAGATCTGGAGTAATCGGTTTTCCTCTCCCTTTTCTTAGGCACAGTGTCAAGGGCCAGCGTTCCAATGTATGGAGCTATAAGTTTGTCGATTTTACTATCTGGCATAACTCCCTCATCAATCTCTTCCAATTTCTCTTCCAAAAGTTGCGATTTAATATAAGCCTTTTTTCTACTCTCCACTGGATCTTGGAAACTATCCACATCATAATCAATTGTTAATGCATCAATTAAATTGGACATCGCATTTTCCTGGACTTCAGTTGTATCATTCTGTCGTTCTTTGGCGATGTCATAATGGATTTCTGGTGCGAAAGGTAATATTTTCACGATAAATTGGCGCACATTATTAATCAATTTTGGAATGAGTTCGACGAAACGGACATTGCTGGCTTGTTTAAGTTTTTGAAAGCAAACCAAACATTTATCGTTATCTCGACAGAACTGCCAAATGCTTTCGAATAATTCTTGCGTTTCATTTGCATGCTTTTTCATTAAGTATGGAGGAGTTAACACCCAACCGGGTTGGAGTGTCGACTTGTTTACACATAACAAGGTATATCCGACAGGAACACTAGTTTCACCCAGGATTTGACGTTCCCCTTTGCTAATTACCAAGCCAGACCCGTCTTTTTTATATATACACACGTAACTATCGGCGTTGCTCTGTTTTACAGTTTTCTTAACTTCTTCTTGAGTGTCTCGAGTCACGTGCATGTTTTTCATAACTCTATTTGACACTGTTGGCTTGCTAACGCTCACTTCCATGTATCTTTCAAAGTCGCCATTAAAAGGATAAAACTTTACCTTTTTTTGATTGGTCTTCTTCCTAATTAAATAAGACAACTTTTGTTTTAAGTTCGAAGAGTTCACTTTTTCAACCGGTTCACTCTTGGAAGCTTCCAGTACTTCAGAATAAAAATTTCTCCCCTCAAATTTCGGGTTAAATGTAACGACAATTAATTTGATATCGATGCTAGCAAACTTTTGGGATTCGTTGATGACCTTAAATCTTCTTTTATGGTCACTTCCTAAAGGATTGTCATCACACGTGACATATATTACAGTTTTCTTGTACGCTTCAGTTTTAACGTTCATCAACTTGTTTTTACAAAGCAGAAAGAAATCTGCTAGATCAAAATTTCCCTTACGTTCAAAATTTGACTCTAGCTCGCCTTCAGACTGATCTTTCGTACTTTTCAATAATTTTATTACATCTGGAACGGGCTCTTCGAATTCTACAAAGTTACTTTTTTTTGCATCGTTGTCGGCTAAGGCAATACCAACTGGGCCTTTTATTGACTGTTGACCGGATAATGCGATTGAGTCGATAATGTTATAACACGCATGTAAAGTGGCTCTAAATGGAGTGGGTTCGGAGTCTTGGTAATTTTCAAACATAGACTTATCTGTATCAATTGCAATTAATACATAGGATGGTTTGTATTCAATTGGTGTTTCTGTTGTGTTTGTGTCGTCTTCAAAGTCAGAATCTTGCCATTCATCCTCGTAAGCATCCATCTGCAAAAGAAAATAGAAGAAATGTGCAGGTAGATATTTAATATCATATGCAGAAAATTAAGCAGCATCGGGGCGCCCTACCAGAACGTCTAGGAATAAACGAAATATTTTCTCTATAAATTATTTTTATTGTGATCGCATGTAAATTGCTCATAAAAATCAAATAGGTCCTTAATTACTCACTTTCAGAAATTACTTTTTGTTGCTGTGCTGTGTTTTGCCGGGTAAATATCTATCTTTGACATTGATATATAAACATAACCTAACATTTAAAGCTCTATACAAGGTATTGCCATAGTTTATGTCAAACTCTGGTAATGTACGAGGTGGAGCATCCGTGTAGTCAGCACCCTTCTTAATGATCGTCGGCTAAAGCGCACCATCGGATTAAATAATTTTATCAGTTACATCTGTCCTATAAAAAAATTGACTTCCGGCTGATTTAAATGGGAACTAAAAAAAGATGGTCATTCAAAATAGTTCTCTCCAGATCGCATTAACTAAACACTTTATCAAGGTAGATAAACATTTAACTATAAACATGTAACATTAAAAATAATAGGTATATAATAATTATAGCAGTTTTCTAACTCAATGGTTCCATTATTTTCCCACAAAACAACAACATCGCACCATGATTGTAAGATCACAAAGAATGGGTGGTTCACAACAAATCTAACTTTTTGAGTCTTGATGGGAAGAGACCTGAAGAACGTCCCAATCGCAACTACAACAAAAATGAAATGCCAATTAAAACTATTTACATAAAAAACTTCAAATGGAAGGGAGCTGAATAGAAGAATACAGGGTGACCAGTTGGTTATTATAATGACGGAAAAGCAATGGAAATAGCGTTATTCAATGCGCTCAACTGAATAGCACTAACGGTTGTACTGCTAGTGAGCATGTTAAATAGAATGCCCTTATTGAGATTTTATCTTTTTTAAATCTACGAGAAATTTGAATAGGTATATTTTTATAATGGATTGTTCTACTTAATCCTGTTATAAACACTGCAACTAGAACAAATGACGTTTTACTTTTAATAAAGACGTTATTTTTGTACCAAGGGCATTAGTTTTTTCAGTTTAATAGAACTGAGGATCATGGCTTAAATAAAGTTCATAAAAACACAATGATATCCGATATCGTGCTGATAGATTAAAATAATACAGATTTGAAAATAAGCTTATTTATTCATAGTTTTGCCATATGTACCTATACCTATAAATATAACATATGTAATATAAAAATAACAAAAATAGGTACACAGTTGTAAAAGTTTACAAGAATGGTTCCATTATTCTTCCACAAAACAGCGATATCGGTGCTGGATCACACTCAGATTGTAGAAGGACAAAGAATGGATGGTCCACAATAAAGCTAACTTTTGGTAGATTCATGGGACGTGCACACTTGAAAGCCATGATGACACCTACAACGAAGAGATATATGAAATACACACAATTTACCTATTTAATGGATCATGGAAGTGAACAAAAGCTGTTTTTAAATACAGGGCGTTCAACAATTGATGAGTTGATTATTATATGAGAGACTAAAAGAAATATATTTGATTATTTTTTGTACCATTTTGTAGGCAATGTAAGCATGAGCACATTCTCGCTTATAGAGTTTGATAATAAACTTGAACGATTAGACTGCGCATTCTCATCTCTTGCTCTTAAGCAAATTTAGTCTACTTATTTACGATCGTTACAAAACCATTATACTATACCTCGTACCAGCATGAGGAGTAACAATCAATATAATATGAAGCATTTGCATAGATGTGGAAACCCATTAGTAAAGAATATACCGCGTAACTAATATTCCGGTAGAAAGGTTGCTTGTTAATTCTGTTACACGGAGCTGGGTAAACAACTTATTGGTCCTCTTAACTCCGGTAATAACAGTAACATTTTATACTGTGAGAACAAACAAACAAGTTATACTGTGGCAGACTTCATTATAGATCTTAACAAGACGAATATTAAACCATATTTGTCTTAAGTACATTATGAAAAATAGCAATCATTAAAAACAAACTAACTATAAGATATTTTTAAATGGATGCTATTACTACAATCCAATTTCTAGCACGTTGGGGCGTAGCCTACCGATAGATCGGTAGGCTACGGTCGGGGTCACTATTTTCCCACAAAACAATGTTATAAGCGCTGGTTCACAATCTGATTGCAGGATCACAAAAAATGGATGGTCTGCAATAAAGCTAATTTTTTGAGGCTGCATGGGAAGAGCGCATCTCATGCTAATGACCATACCTACAACAAAAATAAGGACGTTAAATAGGTATTTACCCAATATAATTGAGATTCTTAAAAGGATGGTAGTGATATGTGTTAATTTGTTAACATATAATTATGTAGTGTGCCTTAAGGTTACCATTTGAGGTACCTAATTTTCAGCTACTTAAAATCAGTCAGAAGAGAGTAGATATACAAGGGCGAATCTGGCTCAGTTCAAGGTTTCTCGCCACCTGGTGGTGACTTTGGAGAGTAGGTCAAGGTGAAGACTTACATATAACACAACTTGCTTTGCTTTCAAGTACACCATCTGGTGGTCGTTTAACAGTTGGGCGCTAATTGCTCTCCATGTAATCAGGTTCCATTATCCTGCCCCAAAACAGTGGAAGAATGGAATCCGATAGGCATGACGAAATTGTAGCAATAAAAGGATGATCAGCGATAAAACTTATTCTTTGTATTGGCGGAGGATCACTGCATTTCGCTCTCTTCACTAAACCTAAAAACCAGGTTTAAATAATTTAATAATTCACGCACAATCCTTTGAACAAAAAGTGAAAAAGCTACAACTGTTTTTTGGGCAATAAAAGGAAAATAATTTTTCAAACTGAGCATGCGTATTACAATACATAATTGCGTAGAATACTTAATTTAGCTTTAATTCCACTATTTGAAATTGCTTAGGATATCGAGTATTATACTATAAATAAATAATGACGTCTACGTCTCTTTTTGGGTTTTCCCTGATATCTTTAAATTTTTTATGGCATACTTACCTGCTAGACCCTGACATACACATGACAAATTATCTCTCTAAATGAGTGTATAAGTACTTGAAAACCAGATAAAGAAAATGGGCCGGGGCTCCTTTACTGAAAAAGTCTTTATACAGACTACTTAAAATTGGCTCAAGCTGATAAGAATGCACTCTTAATGAACATAAAAAGAAAACTCATGACAAGTTTATGAAAAAAACACCATTTTTAAAAAATGATGAATTCCTTAAACTATAAGGATGCTTTTGCGTTGTGGCGACTTGACCCATAAACGTGTAAAGAACCTAAGTAGTATGGAATTTCATCCTACCTATTTGTTTTCTAAATATGAAAGAAAAAAACAAAAAACGGACTGTCTTTGCGATTATGCAGCTCTGTTTCAACTCACACTCTACACTCTCTTTTTAGCATTCTTTGATTGGACTATATAGCACTGTTAGTGAACAAAAATCAAAGAGCGGGTTCTATGCACAAGACTAACTTACTCTAAGGATAATTGAAGGGGCTATTTTAAAGTAATCTCAAATTCGCAATATGTACAGGGTAGCTCAAAAAACGAAAAAGCGCTTTCAGGTAGTCAAAAATGAATTTTTGAAAAACCTGACCTCCCCTGAAATTGGGGTCATAGTTACATTCACCTTCCCAAGGCGCTATCACGAGGTACCTATTGTTTGTGGTGTCGACAATCATTTCTACGTGCAATGACAATAAACCGAAATAAGACAAACAAAGCAGAAATCCATAATACAGTAAATATACGAGTCTGTTTGAAACTTTCGCCTTTCAATTGTAATTTGTAATTAATTGAACCCTCACTCTAAACTTCTGATTTATTCGTAGTACGCTCGTACCGTTATAGTTTTTACTGAAGGATGGGCGCGCACCACAATTTAGTACTGTTTGTTTTAGGCAGAAACATTACAATATTGCTAAGTAAATGAATACCTGTTACCCTTCCTTCACTATTTAACCACTTTTCCCATAAACATAACCAATGGACCTGCTGTTAGTAACAGCACAAAAGGATGGTCAATTCGTACGCGCTGAATGTAATTGACTCGCGGGGGACCAGAAAAGCAGGTAAAGGCCATTCCTGTAAAATAATAAAAATTTGAAATCAGTTATTACCTTAACACTAATAAAATTTAAGACTCCTATAGTATGAGATATAGGTAAACAAGTAAATTAAAAAAAAAAAACTACTATAGTTGAAAAAAACTAGTCACTTGCACGATTTGGGAAAATAAGTAACTAAGTATATCTTAAGATTAATGAAGTTTCCGCCATAAATACATAGTTTCATCTGAGAGCTGTACCGATAGAATTAAGCAGAAATAAATGGAGTTTAAAAACTTATAAGTATAACCGATTCTCAATCTATCACTAACTGTCAATGCCCCTGTGAACGACTGATATACAGGGAGATTCACGTATCCGTGGTTGTTAATATAAAATAATTTCGCTTTCGTAAATACCGGTATTAAGTGTGCGCCATCTTGGTTTTTTTAAAATAGAAACATACCCATTTTCGATATTTTCTAAATGCACGATTTAATTTTGAATTCATCGAAATTATGATTTAAGTACTGTCATAGTTTTTGACGTACCTTAATTGTTCTCTAAAAAGCGGAAGATGCAAGGGCCCATTCAAAAATTCATATCCGCTCAAGACAGGCGAGTGCTCTTTTGTCAACCGAGTTTAGAGCATTCTGTCACACAGCCAACGGGCATTATATAAGAGCGCATCGATTAATTTTTTGTTGATCCCTTAGAAAGTTACATGTTTCAAAATCGACGTGGGTAACAGGTGGTCGGTTAAATTTACAAATTTGCAGGTATAGGAAATGTGTTACATGTACCGCTTAATAATAACAGAAAACAAAACTCATATTCGAGAAAATAAAGCGCAGTAAGATAAGAAACGAGTGTTTAAGCAGATCAGAGTAAAAACGTTACAGTGTTGCCAGTTCTAAAAACCGTCGCTATGGAGCATGAGCGTGGTAAAAACAAAGCATCATGTTGTTTTTCACATCATAAGTGGAGCTAAAGAACCAACCTTCCGCAAAGTAAGAGTCATTGAACATTTATTCATTACTGAGCTGGCTGTGGTATTAAATATTTCATTACAAAAAATTATTGTTTCCAGTGCCGTAGAGAATAAAATTTATTTTCTAAAAGAGGAATCAATGATTTTTTCACAATTTCCCCTAGGTTTGAAAACACATGATGATTCTTCACAAAAAATTAAAAGATACGTTAATTCGTGTGCCGTAAAATGAGGCACTTTTTCTTAACAGAACTCTCATGACGGAGAATACAGAATAAAACATGGTACATACACCCATTTCAGGTATGCAGTTCCCAGAACAAGGTTAATTTATTGATTCAGGTAATCGTTAAACCAGGTTCATTTAATTCAATAAAAAATATAATTGTTGCTTATAGTATGTTAAAAAGTGAAGGATACTTACTATATATACTTCAAATATTACAGCTCTTTGCTTAATAACAGGTAGACATCGACTTTAAATAACTGGATTCATCACTTTGCCGGAAAACAGCACAAATTTTGTGTCATTGTGGTGGTAATTGATCAAAATTAAAAATTCGTGATCAACATGAAACGCTATTACACCACAATCGAATTGTATCCTTAAATCTAAAAGAATATACAACAGGAAATAAACAGGTAACAAATCTACATTAAAATAGTTTAAGGAATGGAACTTGCCAGTTTGACAGAAAAATATTATTCATAGAGAACTAGCGAAGAAATTAGAAATGAAAATGTAAAAGAACAAGTGTTTAAATATGCTGACAGGTTAATAGATAATTTTACCAGTTTAAACAAATACAATATCTGACCAGACATGACTGGCTGAAGCATTACAAAGTTGGTAACGCATGCGCAAACATATAGCAACGAATCCAGTTGTCTCATGCACTTTGCACTATCTTTCCTTCTTACCAGCACCATAAGTCAGTAAAATGATCAGGTTTGATTGTATCTGTAGTTACTCCAAATTTAAAATTCCCCATGTTCTTACCAAATGCCACTTACCTTCTTCTGAGAATGTTGCCTTTACTTGTGGTATATTGTATTGTACTCAATAATGATTTCAATCCCAGGAGAGAGATCCAAATATCCAAAGTAGGCGTTACGTCATTAACCCTAAATTTTGACCTTTCGGCGTATGTTTATACATTTCATGATTAGTAACACTGAAGTTACTGCATTCTCAGTTTTATGTTAATTGCGGCCAAATCATTTTAGATATATGTCTAATACATAAAGTCACACTAAAATTGACCAAGAAATCGAACTATACAGGGGGCTCTATTAAAAAACTTTCATATAAATCACCATGTATAATAATTGCAATTTTGTTGAACATATTTTTGTTGTAGACTTACGAGTCTTTCAACCTGCCCTGACAATGAATTGTAAATTTGTAAGTTTACCCACAATATTCCACCCAAGCACTAATGGCCCAACCTGTATAAAAATCATTGCTTTATAGTTCATGAAGCTGTGGGATTTAGAACAGATAGATCTCTGAACATAATGAATATTCTATCACTTCCCTAATTATCAAAATTTTATAAAACTAAAGCAAAAATTCAAAAAAGCCTTTATTGTCAATAATAGAAAAATAAGAACATCGATTTCACTTTTGGTAAGTAGTACATAATACATTTTAAAATTATAAATAATTATTCAGAATTAAGAAAAGATAATGTGTAAGGCGCATATACCTATGCCAAGCAAGGCACTGGGTCTAACTACTGAAGAATTAGAGAGTACACATAATACTGATAAATTAAAAATTAATCAAAGCTAGTATTGTTTCTATCTTCTCAATAGTAGCACAATGAACAAAGGATGGTGAGTTACAAGCCGAATATATAATTTCCTGCAAAGTGGTCCTTAATTTCTGAATAACCTTCACAAGTAGTAATTACATTAAAACACGTCACTCATGATCAGGGATTGCAATTTTCCCAACGAATAAAACAACATTTGATCCACCGTCACTGTATTGAAGTGAAATGATGAATGGATGGTCTGCTGTAAACGGTTCAATGATTGGCATACAACGCGCCATCATCACCATACCTTTGACATAAGTATAAAATTAATGATAATAATAATAATACAAAGGTTACTATAAGCGCAACATAGACAACTTAGCCAATCGGAATGCTGCAATTAAGGAAAATTTCGATTGAAAAATCCTCACTGCTATCAATATCACAGGTTAAAAGTAAGAGTATTATTTTTCCTCAATTCCATCACTACCTCGACAAACACATGACAGAATACAACATATAGGTAGACAATTTATAATTCGTCGTGTAAGTCTATTAAAAAATTTACATCCGTCAGTACTCTTCCAAAGAATAAAGTAATCGGATCGCTAAGTTCGGTCGGTTTTGTTGTAATTAGAAAAATGAACGGATGGTCAGCAACAAAACTCTGCTGTTCCGTTTCCTCTAAGCATCTTCGTCTTCGTACGTGTGCGCCTAGGAAGTTAGTTATTTAACATTTTATTTTTTACTGAAGTAGAGGAATGATTATAAATTATCCAACTACTCTCAGAAGAAAAAAGTGCAACTACAGTAGATAGTAGACACTACAAAGTACTAAAAACCAATTATTCCTAAAACTCTGAGATTGTTTTTATGGACACGCAATGTCTCCACACTCAATAATGAGCTGCATTTTGCAATTTGCCTAGTCATCTACATTTTCTGAAGGTTAATTGAATGTTCTTGCAATTTTATTTTGTAAGCTTTCGAATTTTTTGTTTCCGATTTTATACAGGGTGTCCAAAAAGTTGCTGTGCAGTAACTGAAAACAAAATGTTTGATGCAAGTACGTTTCATTTTATTAATATTTATAAGTGCAGGTGTTCTCGATAGAGAAATTGCTGTTTTGTTGTGTGCTGTAATTCTGTTTTTAGATTTTTTGCTCTGGAGTTGATTGTTTTCTCCATTATTTCTCCGGTTACTACCGCTGACCTTCCCAGGCGGATTCCTTGGTGGCGCTTGAGTCATTCCGCCGACTTCACATACAAATTGCTGCCGTTTGTCGCTACTTTCGTCCGCTGTGCGACTTATTTACAATTAATTTGTAAATTTATTTATTTTTTACTAAATTTCGCTAATTATATAGATTCATTTTCATGCCATTTGTGCGCGGACTTACTACCGAAGTTCGTCGCAATATAACTGAAATACACTCTACGGTAGTTCACAGGTGATCGACTCAAATTTGTCTGACCGCTTTACTCTAATTTTCTCGAGGTTCACGATGCGAATTGTATTTCGATTTTTGTTCGCTTCACTTTACTTTTTCTAATTCACGCCCATTCCGTTATTTACACCGCCTCCACACAAAAAATTCATTTTTTCTAGCCAATCAGAACTCTTGACACCAATAACTTAACTCAACGTGGAGTGGAATCTCACTGAATGAGCAATTCACACGCTGCTTAGCAAGCTTCATAATGGTGGACAATATTTTAGTTAATTTCGTAATCTCCCAAGACTTCTCAGCGTCTCAAGCACTCACAAGCATTTGAAAAGTCAAGATCAGGAGCACAACGTACATAGATGACCGCTACCAGTTTTAATGACCACCCGGTATATATTGACGAATGGGCGCTTAATTACTAAGAAAACCGTAGGCTCCAGATTTATTTGTTTCTTCTAGGAGTGAGAAAAGTAACGTTTTAACTTGTAGATCCGTGTAACCGCTGATAAGGAAACTAATGGCTGTCCTTCCTGCACGCAACAGCAATTGAGAATATGGAACCAACTGCATTATTTGTGTTGCAGTTTTTCAAGATCCAAATAGTACACGCTAGGCGAAAGTTGACTTTTAGCAAGCAATGAACCTAAAATTGCAACAGTAAACCCGACTAAAACAAAGCAAACCTAACCAATTCTGTGTGCGTATGCGCACAACCAACTGTGTTATGTGCGAGGTTATGTGTCAGTATTTTTTTTTTAATTTGTCCTTCAGAAAAATAGAAACAAAAAACAACACTACGTAGAGTGGGTATATGTGCAAAATCAAGTTTTTCGTTATGGACCAATTTTGGGACAGGTTCCACCACTAGCCCATCAAACCCCATCAAAATCCGAGTACGGGCAGAGTATCTTTCAAATATTCCTATTCGGTATCATGAAAGTAGTTTTTAAAAAAATAATTGAATAAATCGTTCATGACAAAAATTGTTATCAGGACGTTGCTCAGAAACCTATCTTTAAATGCTTTACTAATATTTGTAGCGTTTTTGTAATTTGGTGAAATGCAGAGAATATTTTGAAATCAAGTGTTCAGATTAGTATCACAATCAAAAGAACTTTACTTCTGTATAACATCAACAAATTACTTGTACTAAATTTCCAAAATTAATAAAGCAGATATAAATAATAAGAAGACAATATACATAAGTTGTTCTAAAAATAGTGGCTGTTTATATAATCGGCTATTTTTGAATAAATCTTTATTTTACTTGGAAAGTTTCAGATTGTACGAATTTGTAAGCTAACAAGATTGAGAGTTTGACCTATTTTCATATTATCAACAATTGGCCAAATGTCTACTGTTAAATCAGGAATAGAATTAAGTTGTACAGAAAATCAGTCACTACTTAACGTGCAGTTATAGCCCTTAGCAGACAAACATAAAATGAAGCTAAAAGCTTATAATCAACTTGCAGAATGGAAAGAAACCAGAAAGGAAGTAAGAAAACACAAATGGAAACGTCTACTTACCGGTAGCTGCAGCAGCCTCGGCTCCTTCTTCGTTGACCTCAATAAATGCTTTCTGAATGGCCTTGCTGACGTATAGCTGCTCATCGCTGTTGGAAATCTCGGAAAAGTTTGCCTTCATTTGATCAAAAATCACTCCGAGACCCATCTATAACAAAAAGATGGCTAAACTTTAGTTCAGCTGCATTCAGAACTGAAATAACCATTGAAGAAATTTAGGATTTAAATCCGTGCCCTGACGGTAATGCCTTAATAGTTTTGTGGAGGGAGTTTATCTGGAAAGTGTGATTTATTTTCGCATAGTTGAAACTCAATAAAAGTTATTATTATTATTATTCTCAGGATACTGTCTTTAAAAGCCAAATAAAGTCGCAATAATGAAAAAGGAAGCTCAACAGTGATCGCGCATGCGCACATTATATGACTTGTCCGTGCCAGTGGAATAGCACTGCAAGAACGGAGTCGAAGTACTTCTCAAACTAGTCAAAGTACTCGAAGTACTTGTCAATGTACTAGTACTTCCAAGAAATTGATTTTATCTTTCATCGAGCCTTTCATGGTATTATAATTAACAGTATCAACGAAAGGAACTGTTTTCTACCAACAAGCGCCCTTCTCCCACTCTCCTTATCAAAATTGGGTGGAGGATTGGTTTTTTCCTTCATGGTACTCTAAAGTCTAATGAAAGGTCTTAACGAAAGGAATTCATTTCTACCAAAAACACTTCTCCTCCTTGACCCCTTATCGTGATCGGTTATAATTCCTCATATCTCAAGAACGTGTCAGAGGAGGATTCTTTACAAAAAGCGATTGGAACAATTTTTTTAATTTATTTTTACTTGGTAATAATATCAAATAGTTTTACAGGTTTAGCTTTAGCGACTGAATTAAATGTAGAAACAGGCCCCTGTTAATAGTTTTTAAGTAGTAGATACGTTGCAAATTTTTTATAATTTTTGATACAAAAGATTAGTAAACATTATATGTATAGTTAATTAACACACCTCCTTGACCACCTGTCAAAATTTTTTCAAAAAAGTTAATGGGCGCGCATGATTAGGCCGGTGGAATTGTAATAAGTATGTATAGTGACCATGCTGTAAATATAGTACCGCCGAAGTTTATGAATATAATTTTTTTTGTTTTTTTCTATAAAACAAATATATTTAAATATTTTTTAGGAAAGATCCTGGGTCAGATCCCAAAGGCAATTTTTTTGAACCACTGTTTCTGATATTTGACCAAAATCGTATTAACCATATTCTAAATTTATAGTGTTTTTAAATAGTAAATAGACCATACATTCATGGAGATTTTGTTTTGTTTATTGTATCCATGGTAACTAAGGCAGTCGATACCAACCAATAAAAATTGCTGACGGTAAAAAAATTGCCATTTCAAAATTAAAAAAAAATATAATATATAGTTATAGGTATAAAAAAATATAAGTTGTGATCATTAGTGTAATCAGGTAAAAAATCGGAAAAATTGACGTTAGGATGTAGGTATAGGGTGTTGCATTTACAAAATACTAACTCTCAGAAACAGTGGTCCAAAATTTTTTTTACTATACCACTGGATTCTGCGTAAAAATAACTTTTTTTGTTTTTTTTCGATCTACATGTTTCACAAAAAACAGCCGAGATTCTCAAACAAAATAGGACACACAGTATAAAAATCTTTAAATTAAACTTTTCTTCAAATTTGTCTTTACCAATGAAATTGTTGTAAGGAATAAACCGATACAACGAAATATCGAAGGATCCTCAGTATTACAATAACTTTTAACGATAATTTATTTTAATGTTACAAAATACATCAAATTCATGTCTTGGCCATTGAGATAATGCTCTTAATCTTGTTTTGATCAAAATCCATGTGGTCGCCAAAAATAGATCAAATTCATGTTTTGATCATTGAGATAATGCTCTTGGTCTTTTTCCCAATGTTCTTGGTGCATAAATAACGATTTTGACATGTTTTGATCAAAATTCATGTGGTCGCCAAAAATAGATCAAATTCATGTTTTGATCATTGAGATAATGCTCTTGGTCTTTTTCCCAACGTTCTTGGTGCATAAATAACGATTTTGACATGTTTTGAGCAAAATTCATGTGGTCGCCAAAAATAGATCAAATTCATGTTTTGGTCATTGAGATGATGCTCTTAGTCTTTTTCCCAACGATGTTGGTGCATAAATAACGATTTTGACATGTTTTGATCAAAATCCATGTGGTCGGCAGAAATGCATCAAATTTATGTCTTGAGCATTGAGATAATGCCCCTAGTCTTTTTCTCGACGATCTTGGTGCATAAATAACGATTTTGATTATTTTGATCAAAACCCATAATGGCAATAATTTAACATTTTTGAATCACACACATGCGGTTATCAAATGTGCACGTGATGTACTCTTGCTGCATCAAGATAATGCGTTTGAAACCTTTTAAAACTCTAAATTCATGTATAAAGTGTAATTTTTGCTACATTTTGCTCTAAAACTTTCGACCTATACCAGAGAGAAGAGTTATATTAAAGTATTACACATCTAAGAGTCATAGGGAATAATCTAGCGGAAGTCCCAACCCGATACATGACCTAGGGAATGAAATATGTTGATTTCTATTATATTGAGCCCATAGTTTTTCCTGTTCCCGATTCACTCGAAGTCCTATAACTTTTGTTCCTATTGAACCAGCTTCCTGAAAATCAATAGCGTCCGTCCTTAATGTCCAAAGAACCCGTACACCGAATTTCAACTCAATCGGCCACTTTTAAAAAGAGTTAGAGCGCACACGGACGGACGGACGACAATACAAAACTATAAAGGATCTGAGGATCCTTAATAACTGCAGTACAAAAACAGTGTATGCGTGTCCTCATCACTTCGAGATTAAAACACACAGTTTAGTCCCTTGGTATATACTATATACCTAACATACTATTTCACGTGAAACAAAGTCGGGACTGAGAATTAGTGTGTGAAATTTTGTTTACAATTCAAAAAGGTTCTTTATGCAAATTGAGAACAAAGTGGGCATTCTTTAAAACAACCCCTGCGAACACGAACTTGTAAATTAAGATGGACTGCTGATCAAACAGTTGCATAGAGGTAGAAATGGCCCTAGCATGGGCGCTGCCATGATGTGCCCGTTTTAGTTATTTTCTAGGGGAATTTTCCTAGTGCTCAAGTTTTCAGACTATTGCAGCCTTGGAAAATGACATGTCACAGTAATTTATTTAGAACGCGTGAGGTTAATGCTTGTTTATTGGTTGATTTGAATTTCGCGCCAAGTAAGTGCACATCATGGCTGCCCCCATGTAGGTGTCACTTGTCAATTCAGCATTAGCAGTCCATCTTAATTTATAAGTTCGTGCCTGCGAACCAACAGAAAATTTATCATGCAGAACTACACAAACATAAAAATGTATAAAGCGGAATTTTTCTTACCCGTGTTAAAATAGACTGCAAATCCATAGTAGTTTCAACTTTAAATTTCGGCAAGGAAACCTCAACTTCCATACTTCGCATACCCTCCGAAAGAGTTGCAAAATCAACATCTACCAACTTTTTCTCCAATTCTTCGATCCCAGTTCGTTTAAAAGGCAAAATTATAACCATGCTGATATTCTCGTTTGTATATTTCATTTCTAGAATTTGCGCTTGTAAGTGATCATCAGCGCGATACCTAAAACGCCTAGTGAGGTGCATCATGTGGCAGTCAACACTTTCTACTTCAGATATATAAAACTTCTCTTTCATAGTGTGTTCTTTTTTGAATTGTTGGGCCCAATTGCCTTTGAAATAAATTGCGTTAACAAGTACGAGTCGGGTCAATGCGTCCAAACAACCCGCATCGATTAAATCTTTGATTTTCGAATTTGTTTTGCCTTCAACCCAACCGTTGATTTTTCTAGCACTATTCTCACTTTCAGCGAAGTTGAGCGACTCAGTTTCAGAAAGGAATAACTCACATGCGCTTTTTAAAAATTTTTCTTTTAAGGGAAAGCCTTGCATAACATAGATCTTATTCGCAATGTGCAACTTGACGTCTTTTATGCTATTCAGCGAGCTCATTACGTGATGGTAGCCAGTTGCCGCTATATTTTCGTTGCCGAGGTGCAGGCTGCTCGAAAAGGCGTCGGCGGTAGTTCCTGCGGCACCCTGATAGGCCATGCTGAGTACAATATGTGCACTAATTGGAGAAAAGAAGACATTTTTCCCCTTTTCCTCTTCGGCGAGAATATTGTAAAACTTATTGGCAAACTTCGAATTGCCCGTCACAACTTGTAGTAGTTCTGAATCGGCCATTATTTGTAGCAGAAGTAACAGAATGAACAAACGGAACGCTAAAACAGAATGGTATGAACTAACAAGCAAATAGCAGGAATTGTTCAGGAGGGCGTGAAGTTACTAAATACTGACTGGCATAGCAACTATTATGTATAAAACTTCATACCTACCACCGATTTTTAGAAGTGAATCATCCAAAATTATCGATGAGTAACCGTTACATTTACGAAAGATTGTACTGATCATAAACACAGGCTCACAGTTGGTTAAAATATTGCATAATTAGTGACCTTCAACAGCAAGGTTATGTAACCGTCAACAAAAATAAAATTAGGTTATGCCACAGAATATAAAATACGCTACGATGTGGCGTGCTCTATATTCTATGGTTATGCTAAGACATATTGCTAAAGCCGGGTCTAGACTTACAAAGTTATATAACATGTTACAAAAATTTAAGCTAAATGTAGTAAATTTCCTTGCTGTATAACTTGCTAGATGTTAGCAGGATTACATAGCAAAGTTATATAGCAATGTTACTCAGTCTGGACGTTACGAGCGGCTACAGAGGGTAACTCTAATTTTCAATACACCCTTTCCGTTTGATGGATCTAGTTCATGTCACTGTTTACCTTCATTAAGAATTTTGTGTATAAACTACAATGTGCGTTTCAAAAAAGTTAAAAAAAAGTCAAATATACAAATAACATAATAAAAGAGACGCTTGACCAACGTCAACGCAGTTACTTTACTTCTTATCATTAATGTGGCCATGTGGGAATATATATACAATGAATAAATTCTTAATTCATTGTATATATATATATGATGCGCGATTTTTCAATTAAAGAGTATTATGACAAATGGAAACTGTAAACTACACCATTGAATAAAAAATTCAATTTATTCAATGACTACACATGAAACAGAACCTTAGTGTATGATGTGTTGCCTACAATTTGAACGTAATTTTGTTATTCAATGATTTAATATGTATAAAACGCTCGTTTCCAAAAAACCTTACACTATTCAAGATCTCAGAGGACGTATTTTCCAGCATTTGGCAATAATCGCTTGTGTCAGTGTAACCTAACATAATTTTTTATTAATTAAACACATATGTTGCCGTATCGTAACTTCTTGTGGACCAGGATATGCTTTGTAACCCGTTTTCACTCAATTTCCTGTTCCACTTTCTCTTTAATAATAATAAAAATAATATCATTTATTGATATGTAAAATAATGCAATTGTAATACATATATATCTCAAAAGGGGACATGTCAGCATGCTGGTTTTCACCGCCCCCATAGTTACACGTTCTGTAACTCCATTAGTTTGTCATATAGCTATAGTTTAAATGTGTAAGGAGACTTACATTTCACCAATCACTACATTTAGTTTAGTGTACTGAAGCATTATATTCAAAGTTGCCCTTAAACTAGGGGTAGGATAACAAATTATCTCTTGACGTTATAAAAGTTAATAAATTGAAAAGGTACAATGGTTGTTTATCTTTATAGAATAATAACTTATAGACAAACTTTAATAGACGATGAACAAATGTCCCGACGTACTTAAGAATCCTATACTTATTATAAGTAATACGGAGTAATGTGATGTCTCCATGGTATACACAGAATGAAAATCTGAAACTACGCAATTTATCTCATCTGTCGTTGTTTATATACATACGTATTTGAACATTTTAGTTTGGTCTTGTTTGGAATTGGATACAATTTGATTAATAAATTGATTTTTTACGTACTTCCACTACAAATATGGCACAACGGAATGTTTTGGACCTTAGACCCAAAAGCTTTCGTAGTCACAATTTATTTAAACGCGAATACCTCAATTCAAATATGCACCTAAACGCGAAATGGTTCGCTTCCTTATTAATGCGGCAACGCTTTGCTATATTCACGTTTGAAAATTATTGATCGTCTCTTTCATGCAATGAAGTTCTCATTCTGAATAAACCAGCCACGTATTATTAATTTACTTCTACTGGCAGCTCGTAGCAAATTTTGGCACTGTCTCCGATTGTGAGGACAACTCTTTTGTGTTCACAATATGTAGAGAATTCGGCTAAAAATCAATATCGCGATCAAAATAGCCCTCGACCGGCATAGATTCTCTTCGAAAATTTTAGTAAGAATACCGCTCCCCCACCATATTTTTACTTAAATAACCAAATTTTTGTCACGCGCTTGGCTTTTCGCAAAATGGATTGAAACTTTTGAGGTCTGTGAATTGATTTGTTTTAGTCTCAGATGGGGTACATGTGTGATGTATTCTAAAAATCCATTATATAGAATCATATATTCCTTATTTTGATATTTCAAAGTTACCTATCGACCTTATCCAAACATTTTAAATGTTTAATGTTGTTTCTGCATAACCCATTCAGACGGTCATATACCACGATCTACAAATGAAAAATACGTTGTGCTTGTGCAAATAAAACTACAAGTGCAACACGTAATTAACAGCCGATCAATAACATAACAATCATCCAGGGAAGTTTAATTCTTATTTAGTCTCAGCTGCATTTGAGGGTATTTGTATTGGGCGCGGTGTATGAGATGAGAAGGGCAGTGTTTAAGCAATTTAATTTAATGGCGGCAAAATTTTCGCCAAGAAACCCATCCACTCATAACTGTTTTAGTTTTTTATTTCGCATAGGGCAATATTTTTCGCTATTCCCTGTTAACGAAATTTGCAGAACAACCGTCGAAAATGTCCAGTTCAAGTGGATCTCGATGAAATTTTTGTACAATTTGTCATTTATCATAGGCAACTTCTTTATTATTTGCTTCCATATTTATCAAATGGCAATTCAAAAGGGAAATCAAACATTTTCACGCATAGGACCGCTACTATTTTTTTCAGTGTCATGTTGTACCTCACTATTACTCCTATGGTTATCCAGAAGCTGGCCTATTTTAATACAGCAATGGAATAATTTGGACAAGAAGTTCAGCAACTACGAACCTTTGAATAAGTTATACATTCGAGTGAGGGTACTGTCGATGATTGTATTATCGGCCGCGCTTGGTGAGTATAAAAGGTACTTTCTTTAATTTTGCCGATGTTTTTTTTAGTGGAGTATATATTTTATGTTAGCGTAAGAGTTATCCCGTTTCTGCCCAAGAATTGGAGTACATCAGAATTTTTGATATTTATGTTTGGTGATATCTTCACTCACGTGCCTTATGCTCTGTGGAAGGGTATTATATTGTGGGTAAGCTATTGTTTCCGAATTTTATAGTAGTAAGTGAGTGCGTATTATAAAGCGTTTGAGTTGTACCAAAAAACCGAGCGAAAGAGGAGACTAAAACCACAATATTTTAGTTAGTTTGGAAGCTACCCTCAAAAAAGTCCTCAAAATTACATTCCCTTTTCATTTTTTTATTGAGAAGCACAAGACCCATCAAGAACCTTTGGATGTTTGGATGGAATATTTCTATTGTTGACGAATCATCCTACTATCAGTAAAAAAAATTGAGGAAATTTACCCACTAACCAAAATTCCCAACACAAGTGATTAATCTACAAGATCGACATTCATTGCCATGAAATGTGGCGTCATTCGTGAATAAAATATTTTAATTTGTTTGGGTTTCCACGATGACAGCTTCGAATGAATTCACAAAACCGGAGGTAAGAGCCAAGCTCTACTCCTGTCAATTGCCGCACATCTTGGGGACGAAATTTTGGTAATTTTTTTGCAAAATTGGAAAGTGCGTATCTAATATCCCATCCAAAGACGTGCCATCTTTCTTTGGCGTCTTTGGTTCTCCAGAAAAAAATCAAAAAGCTGTGTAATTCTTGAGGCCCTTATGGTCTATTTGAAAATGTTTTGGTATTATCTAATTTTTTAAATTTGAATACCCTAGTATGCTTTGTTTTTCCCATTCTGCCTTGGTTACATTATGCTGAAGTGTTTACATAAAAGAACACTTACATGATTCACAATTTACTAAACATACAATAAACGACTATGCTTTTTGTTGGTTTGTTTGATGGCGAAAGTTAGTATTACGTCATCCAACCGGAAGGCGCAAAATGGATCACCAAAAAAAAACAAAAATGAGGTAACGCGGGTCGTTTTCTCCAAATACCTAGACTATTTTTATTTCAAAATGACCTTTTCACGAGCCTTTTCATCAAAAAGCAAATCGTACTCAAACGCCTTTCCATTAATTACTTACTATAACTGGACATAACAAAAATCGGTTGTCAACACCGATATGCTAGTAAAAAATTATCGAAAGCTTTCACGTTAATGAAAATTGGAACTTTCCAAATAATCGAAAACGTATAACAAATCATAGCATGATGACGATGAGGGTAAACATAATGAAAACCTTCCGAGGATATTTCAAACAATTCGAAAAAATGAAAACGACCCACGAATGTTTCATCTTCAGTTTATTTATCGGCCAGTGCTTTTCCTTATTTCCAGTTTATGGCATTACGCAATCGGATGTGGGGCGGCTCCGGTTTAAGTGGATTTCTCTCAAAGTCATTCACAACTGTGCCTTTCTGATGGGGATATTCTTCTTAATCGCCCTTTATGTTTACTACGTGTGGTTTTTTGTCCCCAAGTTCATCTTTAGATACTTTGGTATTACTGTAGCTATACAAATCTTGTTAATTTCCGATTTAAATTTGCAGTTACGCTACTTTTTTTCCTTCATTGTTTTGTTTCTTGTGCCATTTTACTAGTGATGTCCTCGTCGTGGCCTAAGCTGATGCGAAATTGGTGCGATACGGATGCAGTGACTGGCAAACATGCTACTTTGTGTTCCTTACGACATCGATTAATGCTTATAACTGTAGTGGTACTTTCTGCAGCTTTTGGTAAGATGAAGGTGTGGGAACATGCATAATTGTTGTTTGTAGTCGAACACTTTATGTTTAATTATTATATTGTTTCCGTTTTACCAGAGGAATGGTCGGTAAATGATCTGCTGAAGCAAAGTTTTGGTTTTATTTTTACTTGTATACCATATTCTATTTGGACAGGCGTAATAGTTTACGTAAGTATAATTCTTAACTGAATATTGGTGCGACCGACGAGGACGTAATGTACTACCTATGTACAAATAATAAATTCTTAGATCACAGAGCTTAACATCTGAATTTGTTGCAGATGATTAATTTCACATGCACTTTCACATGGAACTACAGTGATTTGCTGTTAATGATAATAAGTACATCTTTAGCAGAAAAGTATCGGCAAATCAATAAAGGAATCCAAAATGCGGTAGACACGAAGATAGACAGCAACGTACGTTCTAATACCACTACTTTTTTGTTT